GCGGGCTGGGACAGGGCGGCTCTCCCGGAGAACGGGGAGACCCCGCGGAAGATCCCGGGCACCCGCGGCCCCGGCCCGGATGGGGATGGGGCRGGAGGTGCTGCCAGGAGCAGGATTCGGGGCACGGAGCGGGGTGCCCGGAGCGGCTTCCCGGCCGCCTCGCTGTGGGGCCGGTGCCCAGGGAGCGCCCCAGGCGCTGCTGGCGCACAGGGATGGGGCCGAGGGTGGCCCCATGGAGCCGGGCTGGCCGCAGCTTGCGGGAGCACGGACGGAACCTGCGTGCGCTACCTCGTGCCTTTCTGCCAGGCCTGGAGTGCGATTTGGCCACCAACCTGGTGGGGCAGCCCCTGGTGAAGCAGCAGCTGCTGAGCGGCGTGCGGGAGTTCCTGGCCACGCCGAACCCCGCCAAGCCGCTCGTGCTCTCCTTCCACGGCCCCACCGGCACCGGCAAAACCTACGTGAGCTCCATGCTCATCCGCCACCTCTTCCGCGACGGCCTCCGCAGCCCCTACGTGCACCAGTTCTCCTCGCTGGCCCACTTCCCTCACCACGAGCAGCTGCAGCAGTACAAGGTAAGGGCTGCCCCTCTGCTGCTTGGCTTTCCCTGGCTCTCTGTCCTGGCCAGCAGCAGGGATGCTTTAAGTCTCTCTCCCGCAGGGCACTCGAACAAAGCTCTTTGTTTCACTCTCTCAGAGGGACACGGGGAAGCGAGTGGCTCCGGGAAGGGGCTGGATGGGTCACCAGGAACCCCGATACCTTCTGGCGCTCAGTTATCGCTTCCTCCTTCCCCGCCGCAGTCCTCACTGTGATCACAGTCCCGCTCTTTAAATATTTACACAGCCCTTTGGACACACATACACACAAACGTGCTTCATGCATTGGCTTTCATCTGAAGTTTTCCTGTCGCTTTCCAAACAGCTCGATAGCTGTGAATACCCGTGCATCACTAGACTTTGCAAATCCCTCCTCCCGCAGCAAGCAGGTTCCTCCATCCAGTACTGGCTCTGCCCTCCTAACCCTTCCCCTACACATCTCAGTCCTGAGAGAGGCCGAAATCAAACCATAAAGGTTGGCTGATGAACTCTTACCAGAGTGGGGAATCGGTGTCCCCAGAGGGKTTTTTTTCTGGGCATTCTGAGAATTTGTTTTTCTTTTGAATCTGTAGGAAAAAGAGATTCAGTGCGATAAACCTCACATTGAGAAAAGCGCTTCCATTAAGGCTTATGGAGGCTTCTGTGAACGTGGGTATTATACACAGGTTGGCACCTGGACTGGAGTGGCTTCAGGCACCACAGAGCGCCCCAACTCTTCTGCTTCAGGGCAGGCTCCTGTTCTTGCAGCAGAGGAACTGGCAGAAAGCTCCCCGGAGCACTCAGCAGCTGAGAGCAGTGGAGAAAAGAAGGTGTAAAACTGTGGGAGTATCAATAGCCAACTTTAGTTCACTGCCTCCTTCATACTGCTTCTTTAAAGCTGTAATAAAAGTTCTATAATCGGCTCAAAAAGCAGGTACCAGTCCCTGTGCCAAATGTAGAGCAGAGGAGGCCTCCTCACTCCTGGCTCTTCCTGCTCCGAGTGGGTGGTGCTGGGCCAGGACAAGCTGCTCCCAGCATTGCTGTTTCCAGCACCACCAGCTCCGCTCGAGCTTCTGTCTCAGCTTCTGCTCCGCGGTCTCTCAGCCTCCCTCGCCCTCGGGGGCGTCAGCGCCTGATGCTCTGCTGGGTATTTGTCCTAGGAGAACCTGAAGCACTGGATCCAAGGGAACCTGACAGCGTGTGGACGATCTGCGTTTCTCTTTGACGAGATGGACAAGATGCACCCGGGGCTGATGGACGTGATCGTGCCCTTCCTGGGCCCCTCGTGGGTTGTTTACGGGACCAACTACCGCAAAGCGATCTTCATTTTCATAAGGTAAGAGAGGCCCCTCTGTGTCCAGCACAGCAGTGTCACAGGGCAGCCCAGCACGATGCTTCCGACTCGTGCAGAGGTTGGTACATATTCAGTGCATRCTTCTGTTTGGCTTTTCTTTTGCCAAGCCTTGAGCCTCTGCAAATGCCCAAAGACCCTCTTTTGTTGTAAATAAACAAGGAAAAGCGTCTGAAAGCTCCTGTTATTTGGCTGCCTTTACAGGAGTTGCTTTAGGCCAARCAGCTGCGAGGTCCTAGAGTACACACGTGGCTGTTGGAGAGTCAGATGCTGCCTCTGTCCTGCAGCACTGTTTTCCTGAACATATCAAAAAAGCATCTTGTTCTTTTGCAGCAACGCAGGGGGAGAACAGATTAAGAAAATGACCCTCGATCTCTGGCACGCGCACAAGGATCGTGAGGAGATCAGCCTGCAGGACCTGGAATCAGCCATCTCCAAAGCGGTTTTCGAAAGCCCTCAGAGTGAGTGTCTCCGGGCTCTGCCGTGCAGGGAGCAGAGCCCAGCAGAGGGAGCCAGGCCCCTTCCACAGTCGGACCTATCCCGGGCAGGGAGAAAGGGCTGGGGTTGAGGAGAGGGAACTGCAGGAACCTCAGGGTTTCCTGGCACGGGCAAGGAAGAGCCCAGGCTCCCAAGCCCGCAGCCCCATCAGCAGACCTGGCTAAGGCCTCTGGACAGGAGGTGCGTTCACAGCCGAGAGGCTGGCCCGCTCCGTGCTTGCTGGAAAAGTACCAAGTACCACTAATACCCACTGCCTTCCTAGAGCAACTTGCTCTGCCCTTAGCCAGGCAGGATCCAGGCCCTCTCTGGCACAGGGAGAGGAGCTTCAAGTCTGTCTGCTCAGGCTAAAACCCACCATTCTTGGAGAACAACAAATCTGTTCTGCAGAGGGGAGCAACAGATGGGTACAGCTCTTGCCTTATACAAAACGAGCACCAGGTCTGTCTTCAGCTGAACATTTTGGCTTCCCACAAAGCAGCTCTTTGAATTCCAAGGTCTACAAAAACTCTCCAAAGGTAAAACCTTTTCTCTGTTCCTTTGCTTTCGCAGGTGGATTCTGGAAATCTGGGATCATTAACGAGCATCTCATTGATTTTCTTGTGCCCTTCCTCCCACTGAAGCGCCACCACGTAAAGCAATGCGTCACCAACGAGCTCATCCAGCAAGGCCTGGAAGTCCGTCAGGATATCGTGCAGGGAGTGGCCGACAGCATCCCCTACTTCCCAGAGGAAGAGAAAATATTTTCATCAACAGGCTGCAAAACAGTATCCTCTCGGATTAGTTTTTTCTTCTAGCCACTGGCGAGGACTCTCTGCTGAAGCTGCACGCAGAGTCTGTAGCAGACGTGACTAGTCCTCAGGAGACAACGTACCTGCAGCCCGCTCAGATTCCCAGGATTTAGGACATTTATCAAGTTGCAGGGCCCGGGACTGGAGGGATAAGCACAAGGAGCTACCTGTTACTTCCCAGGAACACGAGTGCTCTTCCTGGCGAACTCTCCTGCCCCAAGGAGGCAGCTGCAGGATACAGTTGTGGGAACAAATGCAAGCAATGAGCCTTAAAGCACTTTATTTATTCCTCGGCCAAGTGATGGAAATACTGAACAGCCCAGTGAGTCACCCAAGACAAGCTGTGGCAAAGGGAGGAAGATGCCAAGAGGGACGGTAATAAGGGACAGTCACCTGTCCCTTCTCAGAGGCAGCCCTCAGTGGCCCTCTCCTCTCCTAGCAGCTATTGAGATCAAATTCATCAAGATTCTGAGCCCAGAAAAAAGCTTTAAAAAAATCTAAAGCATTTTATATATACATATATATACAAATATATGTATAGGTTGTTGTGACTTTCTGCCTCAGTTCCTTGGCACAATGTGAAAATGCTGGTGTCCCAACACCTGCAACACTCACTGGCCCATGAGACCTTTGAAAATATGAAATACAGTGAGAAGTGCTTTTCAAGAAGTTTTGAAGCCAACTTCTATCCAGTTTCCTTTCACTGTGATTTGGTGCTGCCAAGTCCAGCTACAGCCTCAGCTGGAGTACAGGTGTAACGAGGGAAAAGGCAACAACTGACCTGCCAGGACCAGCTCTTCCCAACGTCACCTTGTCCACCTTCCCAGTACAGCCTAACGATCCCCCTGCAACCTCCACAAAATGGAATCCTACCTCCAGAGGACACTGCTCTGTTGTTAAGTTTTGAATGTTCTTTTTATTCAGTGATGATTTCTCCAGCAGGCTGAAAAGCTGTTGCAGTGCTGGACTGCTGAGCCCCTTACACATCCTTCTGCTGCTCAGGCCCCACAGACTTTGGATCCATTCGGCTTCCAGGAAGGGCCACTTACAGCGAGGGGACCTGGGGTGACACGGAGAACATCAGCAGTGTTGAGCACTGGACAGGCAGCGCTGCTGGCCTTTGTCCCCTGTTTTAATCCTCCCAGGCAGGCGGTTACTGGGGTACGGGTCAGAGGAAACGAATTATTCCCTCTGTGGGACCAGACTGCCCRATGGAGGGGTGACCAGGCACGTTTAGCAAAGTCCCCAAAGCTCCTCCTGGGTCTCTGCCCTACTCCRAAAGGAGCTGCCAGCACTTGGGACCATTCCAGCCTCCCTCAGGGGACGGCAAAGCCAGTCACCATCCAAATGCTGCCCGGGAGCCGGTGCACGGACACGTTCAAATATCCTGCCTCTTTTAAACATGTGACGCGTTTCTAATTTTAAAATAAATCCTTTATGAAATAAATGGTCAGGGAATAGTCACTGCCTTCGATTACTGACTGCAGCTGCTGCAGAAGGACTTCAGAGATGTGCAGTTGCCCAGAAACTGCTGCCCAGCGCGCTGGGACTTGGGGGAATTAGAGAGTTGGTGTCTAATTAGTAACGAGGAACAAGGCCTTTCCCTGGGGAGGAGGCGAAACGACAGCAGGTTGGTGACTGCTGTGGAGGAGCTGCTGTGGGTACAGGAGAGCTGCTGCTCTCCCTGCCGCAGTGACACACAGCGCCCTGACCCCGCAGGACACAGCCCTGCGTCCCGCCAMGCAGCCGGAGGCAGAGGCTGCAGCGTCGCCTTCCCGGGGAGAGGCCCCTCGTGAAGGCTGCCCAGGGGCTCCCGGGGGCCGAGGCACCGCTGAGCCGCGCGGGCTGGGATCCCTCCGTGGAGGATTTCAGCCTCCTGCTGGGAACCAGGAGCCAACAGCTTGACCACTGGCTTCCAGTAGAGCAGAGCCCAACTGGAATAACTGCCAGGCAAACACAGGTTATGGCAGAATGAGTTTGCATTCTCTGGAAAATCCAGGCTACACCAGGCAGGACTGGACCCTCATCCCCATCTTCACATGGGAGGCCCCAAAAAGCACACGAGGGCACGCTGCTGTACCCATGGCCCCTGCCCTCCCGCCAGCAGAGCTCCCTGCCTGCTGGCTTACACACCGAGGCCGCGGTGGCTCCGTGCGCGGCCAGCTCCTCGCACAGCTCGTGGGCCGACGTGCAGCGGCGGATGCTGCTCCCGCCGCCCCACCAGCCTCCCTGGGCATCCACGGGCTCTGCTGCTTCCTCCGTGGTGTCCTCCGGGGTCACTGGGGGCCTGCGGCAAGTGCCAGCGCAGAAACAGCACTGCAGCTCAAGGGCAAATACCCAAACAGGCACTTCATACAGAAAGGACTCAGTAGAAACAAGATTTTGGCTTGGAAAGCGTTTCCAAGGCCACGCGTAGATGGTCTGGCAAACCACTGTYACCGTTCAGGAGCCAAATAGGGTAAAAAAGGGCGTTTTCAAGAAAATGTAATTCATCAGTTGGCTCTGAAGGCAGCAGAAACATGTCGCTCGCTTCCAAAATAAACAAAACCTTCACCCCCACAGCGCTGCCTTGGGGTCAGCTKCATTAACAAACCAACACCCCAGACCTCCCCGGCGGCACCTACCTCCTGCGCCCGCTGCCGCGGGTGACACCAGCCAAGGCGGGGAGTCCCGCAGGGCACCGCTGCATTTTGTCCAGGGTCTCCTTAGCGAGGCGGCCGCTCGCACTTCTAAGCACAGCCCGRACAGTCTTTCTTGGAAAGAGGTGGTGCACGAGCGAAAGGACCTGCAGCGGAACGAGACGAGGCCTGGAGCCGCTCCCAGACGGCACTCATGGAAAAGCTCTTCTCTTTTCCAGGCCAGGGCTAAGCACTGAACGGCTGTGTTTCCACTTCTGCAGCCATCGCCCGCTTTACACGGGCGACCATGGACCTGCCRGCCTCCCCAGGACCCGCCCCAATGGGGAGCCCAGGTTTCATTGAAAAAAATGCCAAATTTGTCAAAATCAGACATGGAAAAACAATCTGCTGCCCTCAGCACACTGCAGTGGGTGACAACAGTGTAGSGATGTGCTCTCCTTATCACAGCCAGCTGCTGGAGGGTTTCTGCCCTGCGTTAGGTTCACATCACAGAGTCGCAGAATCCTTAAGGTTGGAATGGACCTTTAGAGATGATCTAGTCCAACCCCCAGCACACCCAGGTTCACCTACAGCATGTGGCACAGGACTATGTCCAAGTGGGTTTTGAATGAACAGGAGAGTGACRAACTGCAGGAAAAAAGGTGCCTCCCTCACGTCTTTAATGCATAAATGTTGCAAACCCCAAGCTACAACTGTGATTGCTCGACTTGGACCTGCACCCTGGCAGGCCCCTTGACCCCAGCTGCWGACTCCTGATGCAGGACAGAAACGTCACTCTCGCCCCAAATGTCTTACAGATAGAAAAGGGCCAGGAGAGCTGCCCACAGCAGCACGGGGAGCGCTGCCAGGGCCCTACCTCGCTGTCAGCGGGGTCGAGCCACAGGCTGAGCACGACGTCCTCCTTGGCGCTCCTCACCCTGCCCTGGCCCAGGCGGCTCCGGGCCCGGCCCACGTAGTACAGGGCTTTGCAGGGGTCGTAGTCGAGGGCGGCCGAGAAACGGGCTTCTGCCTGCGGGTAGCGCCTGCGGGGCCAGGGGCGCTGCAGCCCGCCGGGGCACCCCGGCGCCCGCCGCCCGCTCACCTGGCCGCCAGCTCCCGCTGGCCCTGCTCGTGCAGCGCCAGCGCCAGGCGCCTCCGCACGCCCCGCTCCGCCGGCCGCAGCTCCAGCGCCCGCTCGTAGTCCGCGAGCGCCAGGGGCAGCGCGCCCAGGCGGAGGAAGCAGTCTGCAAACAGGCGGCCAGCGAGGGCGACAGGGTTGAGCCGCGGGGCTGCTCTGCACAGAAGTGGCCACTGTCCAGCCCAGCCTGGCCGCTAAGGTGCTGGGGCCGCTCAACGCGCTCGGTGCTGCAGCGGCCGGGCTGGAGGCCGGCAGCCCTTGTGCTGCCCCTTGTACCTCCCCCTGCTCTCCTGGGACAGGCATGTCCCTGAGTCAAGGAGAACCCCAGCCTCTCAGTTCCCATTTCAGCTGCTGTGCCCTAACACTGGGCCGCAAAGCAGGACCCGCCCCTGCAGACACTCACTGCCAAGCCCCAGGTGCTGCTGCTTCATACAATCATAGAAYGCTTAAGGTTGGAAGGGACCTCAGAGGTCATCTAGTCCAACCCCCTGCCCATGCAGGGTCACCTAGAGCACGTGGCACAGGCTGCATCCAAGTGGGTTTGGAAGATCTCCAAAGGAGGAGACTCCACAACCTCTCTGGGCAGCCTGTTCCAGGGCTCTGTCACTCTCACTCTTAAAAAATGTTTTCTTAAGTTCCTGTGTAACTCTTGGTGCTTCAATTTATGGCCGTTTCCTCTAGTCCTTGTGCYGGCCACCACTGAAAAGAGGCYGGTCCCCTCCTCCTCACTGCCTCCCTTGAGGTATYTATAGACACTGATCAGGTCCCCCCTCGGCCTACTCTTTGGGCTGAACCAGCCCAGCTCTCTCAGCCTTTCTCCATATGGGTTTGTCACCCCAGCCCCATCCCTCCAGCGCTGCCCAGCCCCACAGCCCAGGCCCCGCACCTCCTCTGTTGACGTAGAGGCCCTCCTCGTGCTTCTCGTCCCGCAGCGCCTCGCTAAGGAGCGCCACGGCCTCCTCGAAGAGGCCCAGGGCGTAGCAGCGCACGGCGCAGTCGTTGTGGGTGAGCACCAGCTGCCGCTGCGCGTCGCGGGCCTCGGGGCCACCCTCGRCAGCCAGCGCCCTGGCCCGCGCCAGGTCCTCGCGCGCCGCCCTGAAGCTCTTGAGCCGCCGCAGGAGGGTCCCCCTGAGAGGCAGCGACACAGGCAGCGGCGCTGAGAGGCCCTGGTTGCATTGGGCAGCTCCCCGGCCACACGATCGCTACCTGAGGATGAGGAGGTCGGCGGCCGAGGGGTCGCTCTCGACTGCGAAGCTGATCCTGAGCAGGGCTCCTTGCAGGTCGCCACTGAGGGCCTTGGTCACCGCCTCGGCCTTGGCCTCCCGGCCTCGCCTCCGCAGCCTCCGCTTCAGCGCCCAGGCAGCTCCGTGCTGCGGCTCCAGCRCCAGGGCTCGCGCGAGGTCCTGGTGACACAGGGCCAGCTGCCCAGGGGACGGTCACCGTGAGGACCCAACACGCTCCAGAGCATCCCCAGACACCAGAAGGTCACCCAGATCCCTCATATAGATCTGGCCAGTCCAGAGCTCTGCGTGTACCCAATTCACCAGGGCATTCCAATAGAGTCAGCTCTAATCCCAGTCTCAGAGGGGCAGGAACCTCCTCATCACACAGGCCATGAGGGGACACTATTGCTGAGAGAGCCCAGGTCAGACCCAGTGTCTCCCCACAGCTCCCCATGGCTCCCCAGGGTCAGACCCAGGGTCTCCCCAGGCACATCACAGCTTCCTGCGTGAAGGCATCCCATAATTGCCCAAATTCAAACAGCTTCACCCAGCAAGGCTGCTGCAGATACCCCCAGGCCGGGGGTCCCCGCGCGAGGTCGTCACGGCACCGCATCCCCCTGCGCGTGGGCCGCACCCGCCCAAAGCGCTCGTGGAACGAGGCCCGGAGCACGTAGAGGTCGGGATTCCTGGCGTCCTCCTCCACGTCCCTGTCGAGCGTCTGCAGGCACTCGGGGAACTTGTTGAGGGCGGCGAGGCAGGCGATGCTGCGGGGCGGCCGAGGCTGCAGCAGCACCCGCGGCGTTGGCGGCGGCACCAGCGCCCGCCCCGCGTTACCTGCCCCGGTGGAGCGCCCTGCAGCCCGGCCGCAGCTCCGCCGCCCTCGTGAAGGCCTCCAGCGCCTCGCAGAACAGCTCCTGGTCAAGCAGACAGCGGCCCTGCGGAAACACACCGGGTTCAGCCACAAGCCAGGGGCACGGGACGGGGATGGAGACAGGGATGGGGACGGGTGTCTCACCTGCAGGTGGAGCAGCAGGGCCAGGCGCCGCAGGCCGCGCTGCTCCCACGCGGGCGCCAGGGCAAGCGCCTTCCTCCAGTTCAAGGYGGCCGACTGGAAGTCGCAGAGCTGCACGAACGCCTCTGCGCGCTGCCCGTAGAGCTCGGCCTGCGCCCGGGACGCCGCGGGGCAGGTCAGCGCCGGCCTGCTCCCACACAAGCTCCCGCGATCCGCTGGGGATCCTTTACCCTGTGCGGATCCAAGGCGATGGCTTTCGAATAGCAGGCGACGGCCTCCTCCCACCGGCCGCGAGAGCAGAAGTCCAGGCCTTTCTGCCAGCTGCAGAGCAGAAAACAGACCCTAGGTCAGGACCAGCCTCAGGAGGGGACGGGGCGGTTGCRCGGCCTCCGCTAGGATCCCGGCTCCGCAGGCAGGGCCCTCCTGGTGCTGCCGGGAAGCCCGGGGACCCYGTAACCCCACTGCCCCACGTGCCCTCAGGATGCGCTCCAGCCAAGGACGGCTGAGCGCGGGACACAACGGGCAGAGCAAGGGGAACAAGGCGAGCGCGGGGACTTACAGCTCCCGCACCCTGTCCCGCACGACGCCGGGGAGGCCGCGCTGCTCCCCGGGCTCCTCCGCGCTGCGCAGGCGCTGCGCGGGCCCGAAGACGCCCTGCAGGGCTCGCTCCCGGGMCGCCTGCAGCTGCTCCTCCGGCACCGCAGTCACCAACAGGCCGCCGGCGTCCATGTCGGGGCCGCCTGGGGGGGCCGGGGCTCAGCCCCACAGAGCCCCYGTTCCCCGCTCTGCCATGCGCCCTCCCCTCTAACCCCCACCGTCACCCCCAGCTCCCCCCGATGCCGCCCTGGCTCYGGGAGCCCCCGGGCCGGGCAGGGAAGGCCCCACCTGGCGCTGCCCCCTCAGGCCCCGGTCCCTGCCCTGCCCGGCGGCCACATCCCAGTGTTGCCGGGCAGGAACGCGGAGCAGTCCCAGGAGCAGTGCCTGGGAGGGGCCACGCGCGGTGTCCCGGGCCTGGGCCCATCCACGAGGCCGGGATGTCCCTGCCCGCTGCCGTGGTGCCGCGTGAGGGCAGCCCAGGAAGGGGCAACACGAAGCAAGGCCACAGCAGCCAGCCTAACCACAACAGAGGCAGCCCCATCGGCTGGGCCTTCCCAACTGGAGAGGGGACAGGGGCCCCCGGGAAGGGCGCGAGGCGCCGGGTACCGGGGCGAGGGAGCCCCCGCCACGGCCCCGCTCACAAACCGACCCCAACCACCCGCCCTAGAGCAACATGGCGGCTCTGCCCTTAAGTAAGATGGCGGCGGGGCGAGGGGGCGGGGCGCGGGGTTGGAGCGGCCATTGGCGGCGGGGGCCGTGACGTAGGGCGCTGGGCGGGGCGTGATACAACATGCAGGGGGCGCGGCTGGAGGGGCCGCGCGCGGGGCGGGATCGGGATCGCGATCTGGATCTGGATCTGGATCGGGATCTGGATCTGGATCGGGATCTGGATCTGGATCGGGATCGGGATCTGGATCTGGATCGGGACTGGCGGCGGGGAGGAAGACATCGGGTCTGCAGGGTATCAGAGTGGAGGGATCGGGGCTGGGGTGGGGCTGGGAGAGTGGGGATGGAGGAGCCCTAGATTTGGAGTGGAGGGGATGGGGTCTGCAGGGGATCTGGGAAGGAGGGATCAGGTCTGGAGAAGCAGCCGGCGGTTCGGGTCTGGAGAGGACCAGGTGCCCTCCTGGAAGCAGATCTGGGGGAGCCCCGGGAGATGGGCTCCGCAGGGGAGCGGGTCTGGGCAGCACTGGAGGGATCTGTTCCGGAGCGGATGGGCTGTGGGGAGGCACTGGGCGACGGAGCGGTCAGGGGGATGGCCGCTCCGCGGGGCAGCTGTCCGGGCTGGGCAGCCCCGGGCTGCGGGGCTCGCGGCACCGCGGGGCCACGGCCGTGCTGGAGCGGCTGGCGGTGGCCGGGGGCTGCTGCGCCGCCGTGGCCGTGGCGCCGCGCGCGGCCTCGAGCTCGTGCTGCTCAAGCCRCGCAGGCTCATGCACCTCAACGGGCCCAGCGTGGCCAGCACCGGCGAGCGGGGCGAGCGGACAGGGCTCCTGATGTCCCCGTGTCCAATGGGGGACATGCCGCATGTTTGAGCCACGGGGAACTTGTCTCCCCCCACGCTTTTTTGGGCCACCTTTATGTTTCCAAAGCCAGGCTGTACAACCTGAGCCTGCAGGACATTTACCTGGTTCATGACGACCTGTACAAGGCCCTGGGGAAGGTGGCAACCAAGCTGGGAGGCAGCAAAAGGTACGGGGGAGAGGGAAGGGAAAGGAACAACATTGGTGTCCCCGTGGTGTCACAGGTGGTCCTGTGAGACACTCCGGTTACTCCCGTGAAGCCCATTTGGGCCTTGCTGTGCAGCCATGGGCACCAGGGCAGCTCCTGGCCCCAGCCGCTGGTGTTTGCAGCCTCGGCGCCAAGCCCTGGCCCCAATCCCAGATACAGAGGTAACAGCTGGAGGTTTGGGCAGCGTCTCAATTCCTGCCCTGGCAGAGAAAMGGCAGGAAGGCTCCTGGAGGTGCCTGCGGGCTGGCTCCAGGCCACCAGCCGCAGCGCACAGACTTTATATAGCGCCGYAGGGCACGTTGCCTCCGCTCCGCCAGCCCAGCGTCAGCTCCTGAACCAGCCCCGAGATGTTTAACTTGGGAGCTCTTACGCTGTGGGCCGGGACGCTGACGGTGCTGGAATCTGCTCCCACCCTGGTTGCAGCAGGATTGCTCAAACTCAGCAGCTGTCGCCCAGAAGGTGCTGGACACGGYGCTCGGGCACCCAGGACGTGGCTCTCCCAGCCCTGCTGCCCCTCGCCCAGACGTACTGCAGAGTCCGGGCGCAGGAGCAGYGTCCCCTGCCTGCACCAGACACTGTCCCCAAGGCCGAAGCACCATCCCATGCCAGAGGAGTCTCTCCCAGACTAACACCGCGTTTTCTTCTTCCTCCCTAGGGAACACAGCGGGGTCCGGTCCTGCATCAGCRCTCTGCAGTCTGCCATCAGTGGGCTGCTGGGGAAGGGGCTCTGTGCTGCCCTGTGCCCCTCAGAGGAGCCCCAGCCCGCTTCCCTCCACCCCTTTGCTCGTTCCCCTCTTCCCTCTCCCCCTGCAAGAGGGAATGGCGTTGGCCTGGCCCCAGCTGAGCACATGGAAATGATCAGCTCCACAGAGCCGCCTGGCCTGGCAGGAGCTGGGGCCCTGCAGACCCCCACAAAGGCCTCTTCCCAAAGTCCTGTTGCTTTCTGGAATCTGGTAGAAACCCCAGGGGGAGGTGGGGAGGCCCCTTCACTGTCACCCAAGCTCATCACCCCCCCACTGTCTGCACCTTTCACGTGCCTGCTGGTGGGGACCAGCCAGCAGCAGCTCCTCCAGCTGCTCCTTCTTCCCCAACAGGAGATGACGCTGCCCAGGGTTGGCATTGGCCACCCAGAGGGCAAAACACCAGTGACCTGCTATGTCCTGGGCCCATTCAGCAGCAGGGAGCAGGAGATGCTGCAGTGGCTCCTGCCGCAGGCAGCCACTTGCCTGCTGGAGCACATCCTGCAGAGGAGAGCACCAGCGGCAAGCCGGGGGACGGGGGCTGACACYGACCCCTGAGCACCCGCGTGCCTGATGCAGTGGACACTCTGATGACCGCCCTGCTGAGCAGAGCAGGGGTTGTCAGGTGTCCTGGATGGACACTAGAGATTGGGGCTGGATGGGGACTGTCCTTCACCCATAGGGGTCCAGGCGGCTCCTCTCCCACACAAAGCTCTGCGATGGCTTTATAAGACAGTTCTACACAGATGTGAAATAAGCCCCAGCCCCAGCTCTGCCCTGCTCCTTCTCCTGCAGGTTGTGTCCCGTTGTGCTGTCCCCTGCACTACCAGCTGAACTCCAGCTATCCCTGACTGCTGGTCCTGCCTGGAGCTCTGGGCAGCGTCCTGTCCATCTCACGGACTAGCAGTCTCATCACTGTAGGCTGTAGGAACAGTTCAGAGGTGGCAGATAGAGAGCCCAAATGCATCCCCTGCAGTCCCCCCAGCCCCATCTGGTGTCTCACCGTCAGGCTGCATCAGAGGCACAGGCGGTTCCAGAAGGGGCAGCCTGTGGAAACGGCCAGAACCTCTCAGCGTAGGCAGGAGGTGGGACACGAGCAGCTTCATCTTGAAGGGCACCTTCTGAGAGAGCTCAGGGAAGGCTCTTGGGGACAAGACTGAATGAATCTGGCTGGAGCTGCAAAGCCAGAGGGGAGAGCAGAGGCTCAGGGAAGGGGCAGATGGAGGCAGGGGGGCCCCCAGAGATGCTCGGAGGAGGAAGACTGCATGTGTCCATGAGAGGGGTGCAATGTACCTCCTTTTGGGTGCACCTAGCTCCTGCATCTTGCTCTCCTTTGAAGCCAGCAGCAGCCCTGCACCCGGGGACTCTAACAGCTCCTGTGTCATCAACCTGTTCCGCAATTTGGCCCAGTGGGATTTTCCAATCTTCTCCAGTGGCCTCTGCACAACAACAAGAGGGAATTGGCTGGGTGCCCCCTGTGATAACCTGGGGGTTCCAACCCAGCAGGGTACATGGCCAAGTCGCTGGTCCYGTTAGGATTGTGCTCAGGAAGATGGGATCACTGGCACGTAGAGAAGGAAGAGATGAAAAATTGGAGATAGCTCTGCCACTGGGGCTGGTACAGCTGGGGACAGGACAGCACATCTTGGGACTCAGCCCAGGGGCTGCAGCCTCTCACCTCCCTGAGGTCCCTGCTGCTGACCCCCTTGCTGAGGATACTCTCCATGCTCTCCCTGCACCTCATCTCCGAGGTCCTCGGCTGGTGCTGCTGCTCAGTTGTCATCTTCTTCACCGTTGCTCGTGAGTCCTCCCCCTCAGAGCTGCAGGAGACGGGAGAGATACACGGTCTGGAGCAAGGGAGACACCAGTACCCCATGTCCCACACAACTTTASGGTGGCTATAACATGGAGGTGTCCCCCATGTGCCCAGGTCTGCCTCTTGCTTCCTCCATTCCAGCTCTTTGGAGCTGTTTCTCTCAGCAAAATGCTGATCTCAAGGGCTTTAGCAAAAGTGTGCAGGGAGGGGGTCCCTTTTGAGTATTGTGTCCCTCTTGTCATCCTGATGGTGATTTTCCTCTTCTGAGGCCAAACCACTTTGGCCTCATTGAAAAATAGGGAAATCAAGAGACAGCTGGAATTTTATACCTCACCAACACATGAGATCTGCTCTCACTGAACTGAAGCAGTTGGCCGGGAAGTTCCAGGATTGTCCTCACAGTTTTGGAGTTAGATTTTTTTTCTTCCACTCCAAAACACTGTTTTCAAGAGTTGGGGAAACTCTAGCTCCTGGCAAGGCCCATTATAGGACTCATGCCAGACTAGACAGCCCAGGGAACATTTTTTCCCCCCTCTACTAGGGCTCCTTCCCAAAGGCCTCTACTTGGCAGGTCCTGTCCAGGCTGCTTAGCCTGTGGGGTCTGCAGAGCAAGCGGCCTCTCACCCACGTCCCAGTGGGCGAGAACGGAGCTGAGAGCCCTGCTGGGTCTCACGTACCGCAGCAGCGCTGCYGCTTCCTTCAGCTGCTCCAGCTGCCTCTGCACCTTCTTCCACTCCATCTCGTCCCCCAGTCCCTGCAGCATCTCACATAACATGGTGAGCGTCGAGATCACCTGCAGCMGGGAGGCCGGCAAAGAGGCAGAGATGTCCTCAACGTCCCATCACCTCCCCACGCCACCATGCCACCCCTGCCTACAATCACTTCCCCTGCCATGTGTTCTCTGAGCACTGCAAAACTGCTCCCGGTGCCCATAGCACCCTAACACCACCTCCCCATGGAGGGGTTGTGCCCGCCTATGTCAGCCCTTTCGCTCCCCAGCCACCCCTCCTGGGATGTGGGCTGGGACCTTGCGGTTGCAGACCAAGCGCTTGGCCATCTCTTTCTCCCTGTCCTCCAGGAGATCCACTTGGATCTTCAAGTCGCGTGTGGTGGCCTGGAGCTGTTCGTTGTCCTTCAGGAGGTCCTTGTTGTARCTGTTCAACCTGCTCAGCTGCGCCCTGAGGGCCACGTTCTCCTGGATGACCTGTTGGGTGGTCTCAGACATCCTCCTGTGTGTCTCAGTTGCCAAAGCTTCCACTCGCTGTTCCATCTCCTTCATTAGGCTGAGAAGAGAAGGGGACACAGCCCCCAAACCATGGKTGAAGGCAGCAGCCAAATGCTGCAGGGCCAAGGCTGCAGCTACCCCCAGGAGTAGCCCTGCAGGATGTGTCCCGCTCCATCCCTCAGAGCACCTTCCCAAGCACCTTCATGTCACCCCTTTTCCAGCCCTGATCCCAGCTGCAGGGAAACCAAAGCACAGCAAAGTGGTGGGAACAGGAGTAGGGCTTGGGGACGCCTCTCATCCCCACACAGACCTCTCCTTGTCCAGCATTGCCTTCTGCTCCAGGCTCTTCACTATGACCTCGTGCTTCTCCTCCTCCTTTTTCAGTTGCTCATTCAGCGATGCGATTTTGGCCTGGAGCTCTTCGTTCTGCAGCTTGAGCTCTTCCACCTGCTCACCTGCCAAGGAGCAAGGATTGCCACATGGTGCCAGCAGCCACGGCAGTGACAGTGCTCACAGCGAGCAGGGGCTCTGCGCCCACCCCGGGGATGGTGGCAATCGGGGTGCCCTTGACACCCATCCAGCTGCCGGTCTGATGGGCCAGGCGGGGTGGCAAGAGCAGGTGGCACTGGGGCCCTGCCAGGGAGCTCAGGTCTCCCTTGGGACAAGGGCTGGGTGCCACGTTTCCGAGGAAACTGCTCCTCACCCCAGGCAACCCTTGGTTTTCAGCCAAGTCCCACCCTGAGCTCAGCCTGGACATCCCAGGCCGGGGACGGGGGGACGTTTGGCTTTACATACAGAGGCTCAGCCTCCCCTGCYGCGATGAGGAGCCGGGGGGCCCAAGGTGACCCTGAGGGCGCCCCGCACGTTACTTAGCAGCGACTTCTCCGCYGTGAGCTTGTCCTGCAGCTCCTGGCAGGCGCGGTAGGCCTCGGCGAGCTGCGCCTCGAGCGCCTCCTCGAAGGCCTGGCCGGGCTCCTGCGGCAGCGGCTCGCGGTCGCAGAGCGCGGCGATGCTGTCCTCGCGGCGGCACAGCGCCGCCAGCAGCGCCGCCTCCGCCTGCCGCTGCTCCTCCAGCGCCCACTGCACGTTCTCCAGTGGCACGGCCTGCCCGCCCGCCATGGCGCAGCCCGGCCCGGCCCCGCCGCCGCGCAACGCCGGGTGCCCACGCGGTCAGGGGCCCTGTCCTGCCCAGCCGCCGCTCCTCGGGGCCGGGGCTGCTCGCCGTGGCGATGGCTGCCGGGAGCGCCCAGCTCCATGTGCCRCGGCGACAGCCCCAGTGCTCCGGCCCCGGCAACGCGATGCCTTGGCCCCTCGGAGCGGTCCAGACCATCCCTCCATGAGGGCTGTGGAGCAACCTCCTGCTACATCTACACAAGGACGGGGGACATTTTCCTGCCACCCAAAGCCACGGTTGTCCCTGCGCCCTCCTGCTACATCTACACAAGGACAGGGGACATTTTCCCACCACCATCCCTGTTGCTTAGGGGTTTCTCTTCCTCCCACGCAGCACGAGCCCCATGGGACCAGCTCACTCAGTTTAAAGCCCTCACTAGGGCAGTGCAAAGCACCTCAGCGCATCCCRCTCTTGTCCCCAGCCCTGGGAATATGAAGGAGGCTGAGATGCGGAGCCATGGGAGCTCCTCCCTCCTTCTCCCTCCCTGCTTTCCTCCCTCCTTCCTCTCTCAACGGGTTGTGCTCCCAAGGGGACCATCACGCACTGAGGGACTGCCAGGCCCTCGCTGGGGAACGGCACATGGGACAACACTGCTCAGCAGAGCAAACCCCCAGGCACAGCCGCTTGAAAAACAGTCTGGTTTAATCCTCCCTGGGCCTCAGCCCCAGGGTGACACTGGCAAAGGACGAACCCAGATGGTGGCAAGGGACAAAGCTCACCACGTCATGAGTGTCCTCCCTTGCTCCAGCACCTGCAGATCCACATGCAACGTCCAAGGAGTAACATAGAGTCCGTACCCAGGCTTGACCAGCAGCCAGCCCCCAGGAAAACAATCCCAAAGTCCAGACAGGCAGGAGATGGTGGGAGTTTCCTGTTGCTCTGGACTGTCCTGCCCTCCCAGGAAAACATGTCCCTGGGAGGGATGGAGCTTTGTGGTCCACAAGTCCCTTCGTCAAGCATGGAAAAAGCTTTGGGGTCTTGCTCTTGGGACAAATCCTGTTTTGCGGCCAGCCACGTGCAAGTCTGAAGGGCCATAGTAGGTCCGGCCAGTACGTCTGCGTCTCTCAACCGCACACAGGCAGAACCAGCCACGGGGCAGTGGCCCCCGACGCTCCCACCTTGGTCACAGCACCGTGTCCCTAGGAAGGAACASAAAGCACCGTGACAGTGGTCAAAGCCAGGCTGGTTGCAGAGGGACAAAGGACCCCTGTCGCCCCCATGAGCCCTGCCTTTGAGCCCGGAGCCAGTGCAGCGCTCRGTGCCAGCAACCCACTGCAGGCAAGTGCCTGCTGAGCCCAAAACCCTGGAAGCTGTTCCCACCTTCCCACTCTTTGGCTCTTCCGCCAGCCAGGCAGCCGGGGTCACTTCACACAGCCGAGTGTGAAGAAAAACAAACTCCGTGAATGCCGCAGCACCCGCCACCCCGGCCCTGCCTCCACACGGGCCCTGGTGGCCCCAACCCAGGGCAGGAGCCACGAGGCAGCTCCCAGCAGGGCAGGCACAAATRGGGCCCTGCCAGCTTGTTAACTCCCTGCTCGCCCCTGTCCTCCGCTGTGTCCAYGCCTGGAGCGAAGGCCAAGGGCGGATCGTTTTCCAGCCTCCCCCTGGTCTGGCTGCTCCCAGCACGACCGGCGCTGCCAGCACAAGCAACCTCAGACAGCACRACCGTGTCAGGGAAAGTCTGACCCGGCAGTAACCGTGGGTCAGCAAACACTGACACTGGGGCGCTCCTCACCCTGCACAATCTCTCCTGGGAAACGCGGCCCCAGGTGCAGGGCAGTGGCAGCCATTTCGATATGTGCGGGAGAGACAACAAGGACAAGGCCCTTCACGGTGAAACACGTCCCTACGAGAGGCCCCAGCACTCTTCAAACTAAGGTGACTTCTGCAGAATGTGAAGGAGTTTTAACCCTTCCTTGCTTGACTGATGTGCTGGGAGAGGCAYGGATATGGGAAGAGCAGGAATACGGTCTCCTCTCTAGCCTCACTTGGAATGAAAATAAGCTGGAGCCTGCGATGTCTCCAAACATGGTGCTCACGGGGAGGTGCTTTCTGGCTTCTCAACCACAACTCATCTCCTGGCCAGTGCCACGTGAGCCAGTGGCAAGGACGAAGGGATCGCGCATGTGTCCCGCGGCTGCTCCCGGCAGCCTCGCTCACCATCAGAGCTCGTCGCGGGCGGCCGAGCGGAGCGAGTGGCCCACGCCGCCCCGCGCGTCCTTCAGGGTCTTCTGCGAGCCGTTCCAGCCTGTTTTCTTGGAGTCGTCGTCCCAGATGGTGGACGTCTCCGTGTCGCTCAGCCAGTTGGTGTCCCCGGCGTAGTGGGTGGGATACACCAGGAGCGGGTGAGCCGAATACACCAGCAGGTCCCGCGGGGCAAAGTGCCGCTTGTAGTCCTCGCTGTGGAAGGCAGAGCGGACCCAGGAGGACAAACCCCTATCAGAGCATGGCTCCGTGGAGAGGAAAAGGGCTCAGAAAGGAGCACTGACCACCTAGGGCTGGGCAAACCACCACTGGGGGCAGACAGTGGGGGGAAGATGCTCGCCACCACGATGGAGATGGGGTCCCGAGGCCGGCAGCGTGCCCGGCAGCACGGCCTCCTCCCCGGCTCTGAGGAAACGTCTCAGACGGCGCCCAAGGCCGTCTGGAGCCGGCCGCCCTCAAAGGCGCTGCCATCCCAGTCCGCGGCAGGGCTGGGCGCAGCCAGGGGCCGAGCAGGGCCCTCGTCACCCTCACCGTGCCCAGCGGGACCTGGCTGCTGGAGAGCAACCCTCAGCTCCATACGGGGAGGGAGCCACCAACCGCAGCGCAGAGACGCCCCTCGGTGGGGGACACACCAGAGCAGGGGTCCCAGGGCCGGGCGCTGCTCCGCAAGCCGTGGGGCTCAGATCCCTGGCTCCATCGGCATCGTTGTTCCCCCTCCCGTCCTGCGCCGGCACAGGGCCATTTTCCAGCGGCCGGCAGCCAAGCGGTGTCCGGGGGGGAATGAGCTCATGCACGCAGATGTTTTCCTTCAGCATGAGTAACACCAGGGAGGACGGGCAGGGGGAGCGGGCGGCGCTGTGGAAGAAACACGCGGCCCCAGGCCACCGTSGCCCCTCCACGTTCTCCTTACTTGGGGTGCTTGTCGTACATGATGGGCAGGAACTCGTCCACCGGCAGCATTTTGGAGAGGGGCTCGGCAGCCAGGAGCTTGCGGGCGCCTCGCTGGGAGATGGCATAGGCCAGAGTCCAGTAGGAGTAACTGGCCACCACCAGGTTCCGCACGCCCTCCACGGGCACCTCGTCCTCAGCGTTCACCTGCTTGCGGCCCAGGTAGCTGCGGGGATGGTGGGACGAGCCGTGAGAGTCGGTAACGGGCTCCCCCAGGACCCCCCGCGCCGCCCCCCACCTACATGAGGTCCCAGTCCCGCTGCGCCTGCTCCAGCTCCTCCATGAGCCTCCGCAGCCGTGCCGGGAAGGACACCTCGAAGCGCACGTCGTCCTCGAAGACCACGGCGCGCTCCAGACCCCGCGCCACGATCTGTGGGGAGGACAGGGCGGCGGGAGCCTTGGCAGCCCCTGCCAGCTCCCCCCCCGCTCCCGCGGAGCCCCCCTACCTCCTTCCAGATGCTGTAATGGCTGAGGAAGCAGCCCACCTCGCCCTTGGTGAGCGTGCGCCCGGAGAAGGGGTCGTAGTAGCCCGGCAGGAGGTCTATGCCCAGCACCTTGATGGTGCTGCTGTTGAGGGTGCTGCAGGGCGAGGGACCGCGTCGGTGAGACCACCCATGCACCCTGTCACTGCCTCCTGGGACAACGCCGGAGCCRGGGGTSGAGCCCTCACGGTGTCCCCATCCCAACACGGACAACGCCGGAGCCGGGGGTCGAACCCTCGCAGTGTCCCCATCCCAACATGGACAACGCCGGAGCCGGGGGTCGAGCCCTCACTGTGTCCCCATCCCAACATGGACAACGCCGGAGCCGGGGGTCAAGCCCTCGCAGTGTCCCCCATCCCAATGTGGGCAATGCCAAGCCGGGGGTCGAGCCCTTGGCCAGCGGTGTCCCCCGGCAAACAGACGCGGTATCCCCATCCCAGCACGGTCACCTGCCGTCCACGGCGTCCACAACCCGTGGGGMGATCTCCAGCTCCCGCAGGGAGTCCAGCATCCGCCGGCGCCGGTCCGGCCTCCGCACCAAATTGATGAGGAAGATCTAAGAGGAAGCAGAGAGTCCTGCCAAGGTGGGGTCACCCCTCCCTGTGCTCGGTGGGGAGATGCTGAGCAGCAGGACACTTGGCTGAGGAGCCCGAGGAGGGATGGATGGAGATGCAGATGCCGAGGAGGAACATGGGGGTCCCTCAGGCACTGACCTCATCGAAGCCCATCTTGGTGAGCGGCTTGGGCAGGAGGGAAATGTGGCTGGAGCGCTGCATCGGGGGGCCGTCCACTGCGGGGAGACGGGAAGGGGGGCTGGAGGGGGCCACGGTCATGGCCTCCATGAAGCCGCAATGACCCCTGCCAGCCAGGAGTGCCCCCGAGCTGACACAGCCAGGGAGCCCCACACAGCGTGGACAGACAGCAGGGCTGCTGGGGTCCCACAGGGACAAGCCCCAGTTTGGGGCAAGGGGACATCCCCAGCAAACTCTTCTCCCACTTGGAACTCAAGCTCACCCATGGCTTCCAGCGTGAGATGGACAAAGTTGATGTGCTCGTCCTCCAGCGTCTGGTGGGCCTTCACGGGGACGTTGATGTAGCCGAAGCGCTGCTGGTTGCACACGTGGACCTCCACGCCTGCCGCACAGGGTGCATGAGCACCCGGGGTCGCTGTCCCCACCGCCCACCCCTTGCCAGCACCCTCCCTTGGGCACTGGTGCCTCACCAGCAGCCTGGCACGAGTAGGCGAAGACGATGATGTCGTCAAAGGACCACGTGTAGTTGGGGTGGGGAGGGTAGAAGGCCAGCTGGGACGTCTCCTCCTTCCGCAGGTCGATCAGGAACGTGGCGTACACCATGGGGACAGCGAAACAGCCCACCCGCTGCCGGTTCTTAGTGGGGAAGTAGTCGGCTGTGCGGCGGTAGTAGCCCTATGAGACACAGCAGTGTGATGCCGTGACCATCCATGGGCTCCTCAGCACATGGCAGCAAGAGGAGCTGCAGAGATGACATTCCCGAGGACATAGAGCAGTGTGAGGCTGGGCAAACACCCGTGGGGCTCTCTGGGGCAAGCAACAGCGCTGCACAGTGAGCCTGGTGCCCGCGTTGTACCTGGGGTGTTATCCCGCACCAGAAGTTGGAGTAGTAGGTCTGGGAGTCCAGCATGGGGGCAACCACCGACTTGTTCTGTGCCATGAGGAACTTGAGTGTCTGGTTGTTGGTCAGGATGCTGTCCGTGTCCACAAACTGGGGGCAAAACACACACCCTGGAGCTCCAGATACGCCACCCTCAGCCACAACTCCCATCCGCGTACGCGATGGCGTTTGCCCTGGAGCTGCCCAGGTGGCTCTGGACGGAGGGTGTCYGGGGCAGGGTCCCGCTCGCCCCGTTCCCAGTTTCCTCACCAGGATGTAATCAGCCCGCTGCTCGCGGGCGAAGGTCAGAGCCTCCTGCTTGAGCCGCATGAGGTTTTCGTAGCGCAGGTCGCTCCAGTGCTTGGGCCCGAGYTCGTCGGGGTAGGAGCTGCGGCGGGCGAAGCAGGGGTTAACAGCGGCCGCGGCAGCGCCTGAGCGCGGTGCGTGCCGGCCGGCTGAGTCAGCCCGGCCCGCAGCATCTGCTGCGCCGCAGGCTGCTCCTGGCAGCCGCCACTCGGGAAAGGAGGGATTGGGTGGGTGCCCTCTCCCAGCCCCTCGTCCCATCCCGAGGGGCGGTGTGGGCTCCCGGGCCGGGAGATGCAGGGAAATAGGAGCCCGGGGCTCCTTGGCGTCAGGCCGGCTGCTCCGGCAAACACATTCCAGGCGGAGGGGCCGGTGGAAACAAGCCCTTGCTGTCTGCACTTAGGGCCTCCCGCCCCAAGGCGCCGGTTCGGGCTGGATCCGCGCGGTGCCGGCGGCCCCGGGGAGCACCGCGCTGTGCGGGGACAGCCCTTGCCACGCCAAGGGAAAAGGGATTTCCAGCGCCACCAGCGAGCCCATGCCCGGAGTCTGTCCTAACGCAGGCCAGAACTAGCCAAGCTGCAAACAGGGAGATGGAGCAGCCGCTGCAAACACTTTGCAGGGTGCAGCACCCAGCCGTAAGGAAGCGCAATGGGGAGAGGCTGAAGGTGCTGAGGTCCAGCAGCYTCCAGACCCTTCCCGCGCAGGGAGCAGGACGGGGCCCTGCAGTCTCACCTGGGCTCCTCCTCCGCCCGCCACTGCACCGAGTGATAGTCCTGCCCCACGGCCGCCAGCCACTCCTGCAGCATCGCCGTGGTGTTGTCCGAGTTGTGGTCCGTCACGCACCTGCGGAAGGGACAGAGGGCTCCGCTCAGCCCTGGGACCCTGGCTGGCCCCGCTCCATCCTGGGGAATTCAAAGGCCCCTCTACTCAAATCCCCCTTCCCAGCACTACAACCACTTCCAGAGCCGAGACGCTGACACCAGCAAACGAAGRAAAATCAACGTGTAATTTGAAGTGATCACCGCGGCGCTTGCAGGAGACGGCACACGACGGGTAATTGCTTCCAAATTGCTGCCTTGCTGCCCAYAGCCCCAGACAGGGCTGGACGGCTGGGGCCACCGGGTCCCGCTCTCCTGAGCCCGGCCTTGCCCCAGGCTGCAATTAGCTCCCTCCGAGCTTTGCCGGCGGCTCCAGCCCTGCCACCGGCTCTCCCTGGTGTCCCCTCACCCTGCTTGCCCAGGAGCCGCTCGGCAGGAGGCTCCAGCCTCGGAACCCGGAGCAAAGCCCATGTCGTGCTGGGGGCTGCCCCCGAGTCCCCAGCGAGGGCACCCAAGCAGCAGCAGCTCTGCAACACCCTGGGCTCCATGGTGCCCTGTGGCCGGAGCCGTGGGGGGACCCCGAGGGCAGCGGCAGAGCCGGGGGCCGCTGCCTGGCACATCCTGCCCCAGCACGGGGCTCCGCAGCGCCAGGGAGCCGCRTGCGGATGGCAGAGAGGTCAGAGGCTCTTGAAAAGCCCCGGCCGGACAGCGGAGGCTGCTGGGGGCCCTGGCTGCCCCCCGTCATCCTTCACCCCTTCCCGCCGGGACCCCCCCAGGCAGCCCCTGCCCGGCCCCCCAGATGCAGCGGGAGGAGAGTTTCCGACGAGCTCAGGCGAGGGGTGCGAGGGCGGCGGCGGCTGCAGACACGGGCTGAGTGCAGGGGTAGGGGCACCTGCCCGCCCGCCACCCCCAGCCCAGGAAAGGGTTTGGGGGGTTCCTGGGGCAGAGGGCASGGGGCCAAGCCCTGGGGGCAGCTTGCAGTGCCCCCCACGCTCCCTTCCCTCGCTGGCCCCATGGCTCCTGCAGGGGAAGGGCAGGGGGGCTTCCTGCCTCCACGGCTGGGGAGCAGCACCCCAGCATTGGCTCTGCCGTGGGGCAGACCCCCAGCTCCCCTCTCCCCATAGCCCCCAACCCTGTGCTGGGCGACCCTGAGCCTGGTGCATGACAGCCCCTGGGGTCACCTCCCCGCAAGGGTCCTTGCTCCTCACAGGGTCCCCATCACACACAGAGGGCTCTACTTCCCCCCAGGGTCCCCGTTCCCCCTCCCGAGTCCCCAGTGCCCAACGGATCTCCCTATGGTCCCTGTTATCCCCATGGTCCCCCGTACCCCCCATGGTCCTTCTGGGACACCCATGCCCACAGGCTCCCGATTACTCCAGAGTCCCCCTTCCCCCGAGGGTCCCCCCAGGGTCCCCAACGCCTCCCCAGCTGCCGTACAGTCCCTGTTACCTCCAAGCCTCCCCATTCCCCCATAATCCCCGGGATGCCCTGGAATCCCAGGAATGGGAGCTCCTCTCAGGCTGCCCGTGGCCCCGGCGGTCCCCGTGTCCCCCGGCGGTCCTCGTGTCCGGGGGGCCCCTACCAGAGCGCGGTGCTGGCGGCGGGGAAGTCCATGCGCTCCAGGGCACCCAGGCAGTGGGGCAGCGAGTGCTGCGCGTTGCGCGCCAGCAGCGCCAGCACCAGCCGCGGCGGCGGGGCCCGGGCGGCCGGGGGCGCCGGGCGGCCCGTGGGGGTCGAGCCCGGCAGCAGCAGCAGCAGCAGCAGCGGCGGCAGCAGCAGCCCCGGGGCGCGGAGCGGCCCCGCGGCGCCCATGGCGGAGCGCGGAGCGCGGCGGCGGGCGGGGAAGGGGCGGGCTGAGACCCGGCGCACTCAGCGCACCCCCCGCCCCCGGCCCGGCCCCCGCTGCCCTCCCTCCCTCCCTGCGCGCCGGGACCCCCGCGGGGGCGCCGGGGGAGCCGCCAGGCCCCCGGCTTGTACCGCGGAAAATAGCAAATAACATAGCTAATAACAAAATAAACCTTAATTAAGCAAAATAAAATAAAATAARAATACRTAAGATAAGAATAAAATAAAAATAGATTAAAAATAAATAAATAAAATTAAATAATATTAAGACAATATTAAAATAATATTAAAATAATATTAAAATAAAAGCTATGAAGTATCCCAAATAGCTCACAGCCCGGGTAGGAGCTCGTGTTCCCCCAGGTCGGGGTGCCCGATGCCTCTGCTTGCTCGTGGACAAGCACGAGCATCGGAGCAGCTCAGTGGCATCACAGCAGCTGGGGGCCCGGCCGGGCCATGGGGCCCATCGGTACCGTGGGGCTCACGCCCCCCGAGGCGGAGGGCCCGTGGGAAGCAGCCGTGGCCGGCCCCGTGTCCCAGCCAGCCCGCAGGCTCCGAGAGAGCCGGCCAAAAACGCTGCTTAACCACCAGAGCTGTAAACAGCRTCAGCCGCTGACGGAGCAGGCGCGGGATGGGAAAGGGGATGAATCCCAGTGAGAAATACGTGTGTGCATCCCCACACCGGCTTGGTGTCCACGATGCTGAYGGAGGCCCAGAGAAAATTCAAACCTTCATCCCGATTCCGTCGGCTCCGTCTCCCCACGCCTCATCCTTGCTCTGCTCCCGGCGATCTCTGAAAAGGCACAAAGGGTTTGGATGGGTTCAGGATGGGTTTGGGGAGGGGGGATATTGCCCACAACCCCCAGCAGAAACAGGACCCCAGAGTGGAAATGGAGAAACGTGGAGAAAATGCTGCTGGATGGCTCCAGGACACCGCGGTCCTTCCCAGCAGCTCCGTCCCGGGAAGGGAAAGCCCAGCGTGCTGAGAGCACCTGGGTTAATTGTGTTCCTGGGGGTTAATTACGACCCAAGGAGGAGCATCTGCAAAGTAGGAAACTTCTCTCTATGGACATCAGCATCCACAGGACTGAAGATGCTCTGAGAACTGGTGGGATTGGCAGAGGGCTCCTGGGGACCCCTTGGCTCTGGAGGGGCCCCTCACCCAGGGGTGCTGCCGGGTGGCCCGGGGGGGCCGGGAGAAGAGCAGGGCCCCCCACGAGGGCTGCGCCCGGCTCCGTCCCGCAGCCCGGCCGTGTGCGGGCGGCTGCTGCCACCTCCTGGCCCCGGCGCCGCCGCACCGGAGCCCGGCGCCACCGATAAACCGGGATTTATAAGGCCCGTGCCCCCGAAACGCCAGGCAGGGTGACCGCAGGCTGGGCAGCCCAGCAGTCCCCCTCTGCAGGGTGAAATACGGGCAGTGTTACTGCCCCTCGGCCCGGGAAACTGAGGCATGGGCAGCCCCGACGACCGGCACGCGGTCACCAACCATGGGGGCACGGGGGGCAGCACCCAAGCCCGGCCTTGCCCAGCTGAAGTCACAGTTATTCCCAGCAGAGAATGACTACAATTTCCCCCTTTTTACCGATGAAGATGAAGAGGGTAGGATGAAGCTGAGGGCATGCACACACAAGCGCACACGCCGCAAGCACACACAGCTCACACACACCGCATGCACGTGCAGGCTGGAGGCCTTTGGCTCGGTGCATTTCATGCACCTTAAATAAATCACCTGGGGACTGTCACCATTGAGCTGTGCTTGGATGACCCCTTGCAAGCAAGCTGGGACCGAGCAGCTAAGCAGGAGTGCGTGAGCGCAGGCTGTTCCCGAGGCTCCCGCTGCCGTGCCCAGGCTGTCCCCAAGGGTTCCAACACCATGCCCACGCCRTGGTCCCGGAGATGGCCGCTCGCTGGGCTCCGTCTGCTGCACACAGGGCTGGGATGCACGTCCTCGGTGGCACCTGCAGGAGCAGTGGGGACATGAGACCCGCTGGCCGCRGCAGAGCGGTGCAGCCCTGAGCGCAGCAGGAAGCCCCTTCCCACCCGGGCGCCTCGATTGGGCATTTTAAAGCCCTGATCTTATTCATCTAAGCAGTAAAATCTCTTTTTTTATACATATAGATGTTCATTTTTTCATTAATCTCCCCTTGCAGAGCACCCCACACACACATGCACTGGCGCTGCGTGCCTGGGATGCTGCGGGCTCCGCGGAGCTCCRCACAGCCCTGTCCGGCTCCGGCCTCGGCTCCAGCTCCGGCTCCGGCTCCGGGGCCGGCAGGTGGTGCCCGCGGCCCGGCCGTGGCGCCTGCGCCGGATCCGACCCCGGCGGCTCCCAGCAGGAGCCGTCCAGGCCGGGCATCCCCCTGCATCCCGCTGCAAAGAGCAGACGGCAGCGATTTCCCCAGGCGGATGGAAAAGCCCCTCCTGCCCCTCGCTGACACTGGCACTGCCTGAAATTCCATTCAGTCTGTATTTTTTTAGAGGATTAAAGCTTCTTTTGGACACAGGGCTGGGGTTTCCACRCCGTTTCCGGCCCTCTTTCTCCACCCCTTCCTTGAATTTTTCTGTTTTTTTTCATCAAAATCTTTGGGAAGCCCCAAACACTGCATGTTTTTCTCATTTAAAAGGCTTAGAAGCGGTAGCAGAAAGGAAAAAACAACATAGAGAGAAGAAACACAGCACACGTGTRTGTGTGCGCTGCAGGGGCACATAGGACTCCTGCAGCCTTCCAACACTATCCAGCTGATTTCACCTGCTGAAACTGCACCTTGCAGCCCCGCTGAGACCCACCAAGCTCGCTGCACCTCTCGGGCGGCAGTCGGGACCTGCTGCCCACCCCATGGGGGCACCAATCTCAGTGTCCCCATGGCTGGGGCTGCCCCGCGGCCGGGGCTGCYTTCCAGGCTCTGCTAAAGCCATCGCCGAGGCGGGCAGGTTGTTTCCTCAGGGCCGTTTCCAACACCGTGGTGGTGCTCTCTGCCTGGGCTATATTTGACACGCAGCTTTCACCCCGCTCTGTCCCCAAACACCTCCTCGGCCCCAAAATTTTGCTTTTTCCTCCCAGTCTTAGACCCCTCCTGCAGGTACCACTAGTCCTGGGGACGGAGCCCCGGGGCACAGGGAGCCGCATCCCGCAGTGAGGCAAAGCCGCAGAACGGAGCGGCAATTCGGGGCAGCCCTGGGGTCCCCAAGGGGTGCTC